CCACATCCCCAGCCCTGAACTTTCACTCTTAATGCCTCTCAAGGCAACCCAGCCTCTTCTTTGGATTGGAAAGAAGCCTGCAGAGGGAGAGGCAGGCCATGGGAAGTGCACCCCCATCATCTGTGGGTGCCTCATTACCTATTCAGCCACCACCGCTACCAATCACAATTACTCAGAGTTTCGTAGTTCCAATTTTATACCTAGCTGTGCTTTCTCATTCATTGTACCCTGAATAAATTTCTAATAAGGAGGGAATGAAAGTGCATCAGTAACTTCATCACACTTGTGCCTAAAAATCTAGAAACTTGGGGCAGGGAGCAGGGTCAATTGCCATATTAATCAATGTTCCCTAGCAAATTAAGATAAATTTAAGATAAGTTTGTTACCTAGAAGTCAATGAATTTATTTTATCTACATCATTTTTCATTAAAAAAACAACCTGTTTTTGCTTGGTCTGGTCTGGGTTCTGTCTTCTTTTTTCTCTAAGCTGTGTCTAAATCATCTTATCATGATCCTTAGCTTTAAGGACATCTAAATGCCACTATTTCTCAAACATATACTTCCACCGCTGCCCTTTCTACCTGTTCTTCATTTGCACCAAGATTCCTGGAATATGATCGGCACCCCAGTTCAGAAACCCCATCTCCTTTATTTGTATCTTATCCCTGCTGCTCAGAAGAGAAGGTGCGGGAGTTGTCATTTGGCATATCTTTGTTGAATGAATGTCTAAGAACCTTGTCTAACCTAACAAAACCACTGAACAAACAAACAACTTGATTTTGTTTCAACCTGCTTTTCTTTCTGCATCCCACTTTCCTGTGTAGGTGACATAAACAAGCATCATCTACAAGTTGCTCAAAGCAAAAGCTCATTCTCTCTTTCTCCCATCTCCTCAGTCATGAGCCTACTGTGATCCCAGTCCAAGCCATCTCCTTATCTCTCCTGGAACCCTGTTGCGTCTTCCTAAGAAGCATAAAGCAACCCAATCTTTTTAACTCCAAAGTCAGTCTCTGCCACTCCCCAGTTCAGAACCCTCTAACAGCTTGCCTGCATATTTGGAGTGAAAGCTACTCTCCTGCTGTGTCTCACAGCCCCATCTCCAGCCTGGAGGCCAATCCTCTCTCCCTCACTCAACTCCAGTCTCACAACTTTTAGTTCCTGCTATAACCCTATGTACTTACTGTTTCCTCTACCTCAAATTCTAGTCCCCCTCTCTTCATTGTATCTTGTACACTGCAGCATTTCAGTGTCGATGTAAATACTGGTTCCCTGGTTTCTAAGAACCAGGTCTAAAATAGCACGGTACCTTCCCCTCCCAACACAGCACTCTACGGCATGTCACCCTGTTTTATTTTCTTCATTGCAGTCATTGCTGGTTTTTTCTTAAATTATTTTGTGAAATCATTGTCTGTCTTCCCCTCGCTAAAAGTTAAACTTCATGAGAGCAGCAGCATTGCCTGTCTCGTTCTCTTCTGTATCATGAACAATTAGAGCAGCTCCTGAACAGAGCAATCACTGAGCACATATTTACCGAATGAAAGAACTCCTCAAACAGATTACTGCACCACATTGACTGCTTAGGCTCTGGACCACTTGTCCTGAGTTAAAAGCCAAAAGGTTAGTGCAGAGTACAGATAGTAGATACCATCATAAGGACTCTCAGGGATGCCCAAATGAAAATCCCAAGAGATCCAAGAGTGGCCCATCCTAAGTGACTGAGATTCCACTACTGATGGCATCCTAAAATATTGACTCTCATGGGGCCAAGGGATTGAGTCAGATGGCAAGCACTAACATGAGATCATCAGGAAAGAGGGATTCGCTTACGGTTTGGCCTTGTGGCCTTCATGTTTGAACTGCATCATTAAGAATGAAAGCGCAAGCTGCTTTCTCCCAGGAAGAAACAGGAATAGTGGGCATCGTGGCAGAACAGGAAGTTGAGATGGAGAATGTACGGCGGCATGGCTGGGATACTAAGTTGGACCAAAATTTAGAGGATCTCGAAGCAGTTGCACCTAGGATGGAATCAGATACAAAACCTGACATGAATCTAGGATGGTCACTTTTGCCATGGGAGATTTCCTCTCTGTCTCACAATATGAGTAGCTGAGATGTCCTTTGAGAGATCCTTCACAACAAAAGTCTTAGAGACACCCTGTTCATCATGGAGACACAGTTCTGTTGTGTCCAACGTGTTTTTCCTTAAATTCAGGAATTGTTCATAAGGGGGAGCCCACCAGCAGGTGATAGGCTCTGAACTCCAACCTATAATAAAACCAAATGTTTCATATTCTTAGATTCATTTCAGTCATCCATTGCTCAAGAGCTGTACCCTGGAATGGGCCACTTATCTGATGTTCCAAAATCTACAACTTCTGTGTTCTGAGCCCCACCTTGTTTTATAGGCCTCTGAAAGCAGCAATTGCATCTTGAAGATATTCCCTTTATCTCCACCAGATGTGGACTTTAATTTCTCTGAATTTTCAAAGTATGTTTTGGGTATCTAAGGAACTTGTAGCCTTGAGTTTTTAATATTTTCTATAATTGCCTTAGCACCCTTTTCCTTACTGAATCATAATTCCTTAAAAGCAGAAATTCGATCTTAATCATTTTTACCTGCTAAAACACAATCACATGCCTTAGACATGAATGGATCGGTGTAAAATTTGGAAAGAGGGAGCTGGGTTAAAATACTTGTTCTGCTACTTAGTAGGTGTGTGACCTGGTGGCTTACTTCTCTAAGCCTACATTTTCTCATCCCTGAAATTTAAACGGTGAAAAAGAAACTAATAACCATGTTGTGGACTATGGAAAGAATTGAGATCCTACGCACATAGTGCTTAGTGCAGATAGTAGATACCATCATAAGGACTCTCAGGGATGCCCAAATGCAAATCCCAAGAGAAGCCAAGAGTGGCCCTTCCTAAGTGACTGAGATTCCACTACTGATGGCATCCTAAAATATTGACTCTCATGGGGCCAATGAATACTCGTCATACCAAAAGTTCTGCTGTGAATTCAGGCCTATATCCTTAATTAAGAAAAAGTTAACAGTGGAAAATCACTTCTGAGTCTTATAAATAGGAAATTGGATTTCCTAATGGGTAATTTAAAATACTTTGGGAGCATAAATACACCTGGAGCACTCAAGCTATAAGTTGGTGACTCAGAGAACAAGGCACAGAATCCTGAGCTACACAGCAGCAAATGGCCACTTAAGCTCTTAAAGAGCAAATTGCAGAAAATAAATTAATTCATTTAAATATGCATGAGGCTCTGAGTGGGGCGTATGCTGGAATGGTGCTGAATGATTTCCTTTGTTATGGTGTTCACAAGTATTCATAATACCTCACTCTGTGCCTTATACCTTGGCGTAGAACAAATTTCAGAATCTTTTTGCCTTTTTAAATAGTTTTTAAAGTAACTTAGATTATAAAACAGGATATTCCAGTCAAAGTACATATTTTACTCGTTGAGTTGGAAAAGTGGATAGTAAGTTTATCATAGTTGGAACCCCGAGGGAATGGAAAGTGGTTCTGATTATGTTGTTAGAAAAAGGCTTTGCAGAGGCTGGCAGAGATTTGCAGAAACTTCTTAAAAGTTAAAAACTTGCCAACTTTTTGCCTAAAATATGTGCAGAGATTCAACCACCTTCTCGGATAACGTGTGGCCCAGCAGTCTCAGTTCTAAGAGTCCGTATACTCATTCATAGACTTCAGGGTGTATTTAGAATATTTATCAGAATTATTGCTCAATTGTTTCCAGCTCTCATCAGATCTGTTAATTTTCACTATGGGAACCACAGTCACTAAAATCCTGGTATTTTATGTCCTTGCATACTTAAAAACAAGTTTTATGGTTACATAATTGAATAAATAAAAGGAAAAGGAGCTGGGGAGAAGGAGACAGCACCAGCAGCAGGAAACTAGCAACAAAAGGGCTGTAAGACCCAGAGCCATGCCCTATTGCATTTAGCATTTATGGAAGGAGAGGGATGGAAAGAATATGCTGTTTGCCCTGCACCCCCTGAGTGGCAGGGTGGCTTTCTTTCATGGAAGCATTTCATTTCAAAGCCTAGGCAGTGAAGGAGAACTTGGCCGCAGAGCAAGAGCTGGAACTGAGGAGACCTGAACTATGGACAGGGTGAGGCTTGGAAAAGGACTTGGCAGCCCTGCCTGAGGACAAAAGCAATCAAAAGACTAGCCAAGGTCTGTCAGTGAGACGGGCGGGGATATGAACCTGGTATTCTGAACATGGAAAAATATTAAATCCATTCTAAGTCAGTTATGATGCCTGTGTATTTCTGTGAGTTTCTGTTATTACAGTAATTTCTATTTTGACTTTGGGCTATGAATAGGATCCAGTCAGGTAGGTTTTCTTGCTTGTGAATTTGGAAAAACACATAATTGTTCACACAGGGTTTAAATAATGTGTCATTTATGTATAAATGTGTATATCTCTTTAACTGAATATTTCCTTTGATCCCAAAGACTCATGATTGGCAAGCTCATTTTTTTTCTTTGGGGAAACAATAATATGTCATAGTTACAGTCTTTGAAGAGAAATCTTGGAGCAATAATAGAAAGAGAAACACATTTGAGGACCGGTGGCACTCACTGGAGAGTGTCATGACAGGTCAAGAGAGAGCTTTATTCAGAGGAGTGGAGACTCTGGAGGTATGGGTGAGATCCCTTCTCCAGACCATGTTTACAGGCAAAGGGGAACCTTCAAACAGAAGTAAATGGTCACCTTTGTATTTTAACAAAGAAGACTCAAACCATCGTATGGGCTAGAGATACAGTAGATAGAATTGTTTTTCTTTTTTCTGTTTTTCAAAGTCAGACCATATAGGAAACTATAACCTCATTTCAGGTATCTGAATAAACACTCAAAGGAAGCTTTTTCTCACTTATTATAAAGGATAATATCTGTTGAGCACATGCTTTTAAAATGGAGGCTACACTAACTGTCATCTTTTTTTAATGTGTACTATTCATCTTTGAAATTATAAGTTCACCTTTCATGACGCCTTATTTCTGTAGAACGTTCTTTTCTTTAGGATTTTGATTTGCAGGACTGCTTGGCTCTTCCCAACAAACTATAAATTGGAAGTGTCTGCTCCTTGTGAGATGTGTCGGGTCTTCATGTTGATGATTTATTCTGTCACGTTGGTCTGACCAAACCTGATGACCTAAAGGTTTTCATTTTAAGACTGATCACCTTGGTTTAAAAAGTGATATACTATATGTACTACAGTACACTATAATGTACTACAAATAGTGTTCTTTAGACATTAGAAAACCATCCCAATTACATACCCACCAGTTACCTTCCTGCTCTGAAGCATTTCGTACTACCTGATGCTGTTGATGGAAGGATTATTTCGACAGGTAGAATTCAAATATGACTACTTAAAATGAATAGGCGAATGTGCTCTTATGTAGGTACTAACTACTGATGCTTCTTTAAGGGTATATTGTTTAGTCAGCTTTTCGATGTTATGACCAAAGACCTGACCAGAAAACTTACAGGAGGAAAAGTTTATTTTGGCTCAGAGTTTCAAAGAATCAGCTCATGGTCAAATGAGTGCGTAACTCTGGGTCTGAGGCAAAACATCTTGGTGAAAGGGTATGGTAGAGGAAAGTTGCTTAGCTCCTGGTAGCCAGGAAGCAGAGAGAGAGAGAGAGTTCCTTCACCTGGGCCAAAATATAAACCACAAAGGCACAGCCCCAGTGACCTACTTCCTTCAGCCACCCCTACTTGCCTACGGTCACCATCCTGTTAATCCATGTTAGTGGATTTTCCCACTGATTAGGTGACTGCTCTCATAATCTAATCGCTTCACCTTGGAACATTCTTGCATTGTTTCACACACGAGCTTTTGGGAGATACCACATATCCAGACCATAGTAGCACTAATCCTATAATAAATTGAAAATCAGAATCATCAAGAACTTTTAGTATGAAATACTCCATTACTACATTTGTAGTGATTAACTTGATGCTTAATAGCTCTTCGAGATGTTTTTCTAATCAATGCACATGAGCTGTCATCAAAACTAGAATTCCTAATTCTGAGCCAAAACAGTTGGAGACCAACCAAATCAGAACCTTTAATAGGGTTTATAAAGGAAAACCATCAATCATTTATTCTCCCTCCCGAGCTCTGCATACATTATTAAAAATTTTTATCAAAATTTTTATTCTAAAAAGCCTTTTAAGAAATTTGAATTTAAGAAATATTAGTGTGTAGTATTATCTAATCAAAACTTGATTTGTAAGGGTGAATCAGCTAATATATTCATAATTCTACTCCTGTTAACAACTCTGAAATTGGCTGATAATTACTTTAGAATTAGAGGCTCTAATTTGTACATTGGTAATATGTTTCCAATCACCCAGCCAATGTAATAACAATAATAAATTATACTTCTCTCTTCTTTGAGATGATGCTGAATCATAATCAGATCAGCTGAAGTAGGATATTTTCACTAGAGCTGAATGTAAAATTTTCCCTGAATATTAAAACCTTGTGATGTTTCTGAAGATTTGAGGCCTTGTTTAGCACTATGCTAGACAAGACCTGTCAGTAGTTTTTGGTGGTTTTTTTTATTTCAGTTCAAGTTTATGACGAAGAAATTCTTATTATCTCTGTCAGCAAAATTCCCGAAGTACAGTACCAAACAAAAAATGCTTTGTAAACCATTTGAAAGCCCAAAACTTGGCCATGTAACTTTACCCACATTTACCCCGGGCATCCACCTAGTTAACTACCGAAGGCCTCAAACCAAGACTCCACTGCCCCCAGCTATTCCTAAAGTTGTGTTTTCAGTCTACAGAATAAAAGTAAATTAATTACATCACAAATAATTTTAAACATTTCCTTAATTTGCAGAACGCTTTGCTCAACAAAATTTAGCTAGAACCTTAAAGCATAAAGGAAGATAGATAATTTCTTTTTGCTTAAAGTAAGTATAATACAAACGCTGTCACCAGGACTTTCCACCATTACCAAAATAAATTCATACTGCTGCATAGCCATATCAGCTCCACTTAAGGCCTTTACCTTATATTTCCTACAAGAAATAATGGTAATAAATACTAAGGGAATACCATGTGCTACCTTATGTCAGATTCTGAGTGCTTTCTGTGAACTGCCTCCTGTAATAGGACATCGTTACGTACTGCTTCACAGGAGGGGGCAACTGAGAGACAGAAATACTACTTTTGTTGCACAGGGTCACAAAGCCTAGGAGTAGTAGATGTCAGATTTTTTTTTCTGGCCGCCTGACTCCAAAGCCCATGTGCTTACCATTAATCCATCACCTTCTATGGAAGGCAAAAGAAACAGAACAAAACCAAACCAAAACCTTTGATAGGATTTAAGAAAACAGATCTGCTGTGGGGAGACTGACATGCTGGAGGAGAATTTTGCAGAGATTAGTTGCCTGATGCTGTTCTAATAGGCCCACAGGTGAGGGGTTTTGTTCTCATCTTCGGCCACACACTACAATTACCTGGGGGTCTATAAAAAGAACTGGTGCCTTCATGTCCCGTGCAGAGAGTGGATGTACTTGACCTCAGTGTAGCCTCAATGCTGGGTTCTCTTTAAAACTCCTCCAGTGCTTGCTGAGTAGCCAGGGCTGAGCAGCACTGCGGTGAAAGCTTTCTGCTTGTTCGGGGATCTGCTCACACTGGGCGGAGGTGAAGTAGGCACCCTGGCAGATGAAAGGGGCCACCAAAGTGAAATCATTCCAAGTTCTCCTGTAACGAGACTCTTCAATAATATCTTCATATCATTCCCCAGAACCAAATAATTCTCTCAGAATGTTCAAATGGGTCTTTAAAAGAACAGTCTAGGGGTTCTTGTTCCTTGTACAAGTGGTAAGGACCCCTGGCTGACACCTTGTTTGTGATGTGAACAGCAGTAAAATCACAAAGTTTGGCAAAGCACTGTCTTGGATGGTAGAACCCGGGACTGGAGATGGGCAGATTCGGTAGAAAGGGAACATCTGCTCGCGTTAATGGGCTGACGTGGTTAAAGAAGCCTGTTCCTCCTGTGGACCTCTTTTCAGGGCAGTAGCCTACCTGTTGCTGTCTCGCTGGAGGGCAGGTCTCCTAAGGCCTTCCTAAGGGCCATGACAGAGCAGGTGATTAACGTCACAGGAGGGACTGATAGCCCTGGAAACTATAAGCAATTATAAACATAAAAATGATCTACCACTGAATTGCTGTTTGCCTAGGAGCGTGGCGCGCACCTTTCTGTGACTGCCTATGCATTCAGTTATATTTCCACCGTGTGCAATTAAGCGTATTCACTTGTTTTCTTGGAAACAGCTTAAAATAGATTACATGCCATCAAGTGATTTGAATTTCAGAAAACCAAGAGTTGTTTACTGGTATAACACCTCCTCTCTAAAAATCCATAAATTCCTCCTCCACCAATCCAGTTTGGTGTCTCGTATTTATTTTTTGTTAATCACGATTGTGCCAGAAATTTCACTATGCTACATGTGAAGAGTGATTTTTTTTTTTTTTGGAAACCACAGATTGGACTTCCTAGTGTAGTACTCGCCTTACTTTTTCCCTTTCTATGTCCAGATTACGGTCGTAAATTTTTTCTACAGAATTTCATATATTCTGTAGATCAGTTTGGTTTTTTTTTTTTTTCTTAAGATTGTATTACAGCATGGATTAACAGAATCCTCAGGAGCATAAAGACAGATATTTTCTTGGAAAAAAAAATCACAAATTGAGGAAAAATTATAACAAATATGCTGAAAATCCAGGTTTATTTATTCAGTTAGTCTTTAGGATTTTTTTTTAAGCTGGAGGGCAGAGAGCAGGATTTTTGGGTCGCTTCCCCCTTAGTAACCGCTGGCTAGGAATTCGTAGAATCATTGTGTTGATCAGGGAATCACTAAAAAGTTATAATTTGCATTTTTTTCAATTAAAGTATGGCCATTGTCACAGTACAGTTACTGAAATTATTTTGTTAAATGAAACACTGACCTTATAGTAAATTAGGGGATTTCTTTGGGAGAAACTTTTCAGCTGGGCACCCAAACCTGAGATACAGGGAAGAAGAGTAATGGCATTGTTTTGACAGTTTGTTGGTTTTCTGATCTGGGCTGTTACCTGCCAGGGCTTTGAGAGCTCCGGGTCCTTGTTGGATTCCTTTCAGTGCCTCAACTCCTCGGTAATGGAACCATAAACTCCTTGCAGTCAGCCGGAGGGACTGTGGGTCAGGACTGATGTATTGCAGCCTTGCTTTCTCCCTTTGTCCAAGTGCTGCTCCCTCTCCCTTCATTTCAGGCCCTGTCTCCTCCTGGATCGGAAACATCTGTCCCTGAATTGTTCCATGCTCTTGATTTCTGTCACTGCGGTTCAGCTGGCCATATGGACGGGAGGGATGAGTGGCTACTTGAAGCAGTGCACTCTAAGGAGATTTAGAAAGAGAACATCTCATCTCTCCCCTGACAGCTTCTTCCCCTAACTGGCTCAGACAAAGGGCAAGCAGGATTAACCATCTCCGATGGCCTGGGTGACCGCCAGCGGCCAGAGGTCAGCAAAGTATCTCCTTCCGCACGGAGCATAACTAGCCATGAGGGCAGGGGTGCAGCGGAAACGTGTTTTCCAGCAGTCCAAAAAAGCATTTTCTTCACTGAGAAATTTCCTTTTGACTTTCCAGTGGCTGCGAAGACTAACTGGCCTTCTTACCATCTCAGCAGCACGTTTCAGGATTTACCTGCGAAGAGAGCCAGTCCACTGGACATGTTGTTGAATGTCTGATCTACTGCAATTTATTTTCTGGTCTTGTATTTTTTCCAGGAAAAAAAAATGTTTTTATTTTCAAATATATAAGAAATAAGTATATGAGAATAAGTATATGGGAAAAGTTAGTCTGATGCCATGGCATAGTTGGAAGTATTTTTCTTTCCTTTTACAGTTCTTTGACATTAGCCATTAATGACCCCCAAAGGTTCATCAGTCAGGCAGTCAGTATGAAATAAAAGAAAAGTCTGGGTTTCAGGACCAGAAGCCCTGACCCTTCTCTTTCTTAAATACCTGAGCTGCCTACAGCAGTTCTGAGCTCTGGCTCAGGAAGACAGGCCTGCTCAGCTTGGCATCATGGTCTGGCCCCACACAGTGCCTCTGTTTTGGCCCCTTCATCCTTTACCTCAGCAGACAGGAAACCTGCCTCCCTGCAGAATGCTACTTCACTTCCGAGGTTAGGAAGTGAAATTTAAATGCTACAAAAAGGCATTCCTTTGGTTGAGTCAGACCAGGAGGCCACATGAATGATTTATTATGTATCACTTTATCAATGAAACATTTTCCCACTCAGGAATAAGCATTCTACTATACTTGCCAACAACCTAAAATGGTTAGCTCAGCATAAACAGAACTATTTTATCAGTTCAGCCCACGTGGGACCTAATACATTCTACAGGAAAGCCTTTATTAAACATTAGAGTTGTCCTTCAATTGTTTAGGAAAGTTTCCATTGCAGAGTGATTCCTGCTTGTAGAATAAATGTGGTTTTCACAGAGTCCAGTGTGATTTTTAGCTGAGTGAGACAATGACAGGGACAGTTGGGAGCCAAGGATCATTGTTGGACCTGTACCGCCACCTACAGGTAGACTAAGGAATGTTGGTTCCATTTCTCATGTGCACTTCCATTATAATAGCCAGAACAGAATTAAGAAGTATATGTGTTTAGATTTGGTTGTGTACATACAATACAGTAAGATTTTGTTGCTACATTTTTTTAAAAAGAGGGGGCTGTATGTTTGTAAAATATTGTTTTGTAATAATTAAATATCTATTAATTAGACTCCTAAGGGAATGAAGTCCCTTTTATTCTATGTTAAATTGTTAACTGGAGAACCCATTTGATACTCTTCATAAGGTTTAGTATTTGAATTTCTGGTTAACCTTGAGCAGAAATCTTGCACTGAATATTAGTTTCATCATTTACTTATTATCTCTGCTGCTTCTGTCTGTCTCCCCCTTCCAGAACATTATCTTCATGAGGGAAAGTGTTTCTTTTAATCTATTTTTTTTTTTGTTACTGGTTTTTCCCCAGGACCTAGAACTGTGCCTATCACAAAAGCAACTACTCAAATATTTAATGAGTCACTATCACTGTACTTTCCTAGGAAGAAGAACACATAAGGAAAGACAGTCACTTCTTTGCCTCTGGGTTCTTGTTTTAAATGGGAATGCTAGTAGTTCTTGTTTCTCTGTTCCTGTTGTTATGAAAATTAAATGAGATAATGGATGGTAAAATGCTCTGAATTATGAAGCATGATAAAATTTAGACATTTTTCTCAAAACTCATTTTGGAGGGAAGGGAGAGCTCTAGAAATGTAGAAAAAAAATTTTAAATTGTTCCCCCATAACTTCCTGGGGTGTTTTTAAAACTTACATTTCTGAGTTCCAACCTATAGATTAGGTCTTGACAATTTTAATTCCTTAAGAATCTTATATGATCCTGTAGCATGCTAAAATTGGAAAACTTTGGGTATCAGGAAGGTTGAAATTGAATCTAAAATGAAAGTGACTCATTTAATAGTATTAGTAAATTGTTTAAATTGTTTCTGATAAGATGAATTTCATTGACTTTAAAAGATACATTAAATTTTAATTGATCTGTCATCATTTAACTTAATGTATATGATACTATCTTGTACAAAAAAAATGGACGGATCTAGACATTTGTAAATTAAGATACTCTTAGTATATCAAAATTACTTAATTTTAGAGACTTTTATATGTATTTCATAAAGTAGGTTACAAATAATATATAAAATAATTTTAAAATTAAGCAAAGGGGAAAGTCCCCTAAGTTTGTTTGTATAAGACTGACTTTAATTTTATTTAAGAAATTCCACTTTGATTTTTGTGATCATATGCTGAATAGGATATTAATATGCTTTGGCATATTATAGAAGTAGTGTATTTCTTGGCATTGAGGATATTTCCTTGCTCTCCTCTTCTTTAAGCATTTTCTGAGAAACAAATGGGGGAAAGACCATATCTACAAATTTTCAAATTAACCTTTGAAGAACTAAGCATTTCATGTGCAATAATACTTTTATAGATAGATATATGTTCCCCAAACATGTAAGTGCCTCTCAGGCCTGGTAAATCCAGTTTTCTTCATTTCATATCTTGTCTTAAGGACATTGTTATCTGGGTCATCGCCTATCTATCTGTAGCACCTGCCTCACAATATGAATGAGTGGATTAGATTTTTATTCTAAAACAAAGTAGGGGCACTCTAGAAAGTGGGTTAGGGTGAGATTGGGCATCAGATGAATCTCAAGAGCAAACCCTGGTCCTCTCCAACTGCACATCTTTCTCTCCTTCGCCTTCAAAGCATATTCTCATATTCATGCATACACATACTCACCCATATTCAGGGGTGTCTATATACCAGGCACCCCTGTGGTAGTACTGACAGTGATCACCCAGACTCGAGAATTCAGTGGCTTCCTTGGCACAGTGGGAAGGGACCAATAGTACACCAGTGTAACCCCAGGATCATAGACAGTCAAGGTAGACTGTAGGGTGC